AACGTGTTCAAGTGTCAGGAGTAGGCTGACCAGCAGGCACTAATTTAATGCCATCTGTGTTGCCTACTTGGAAGTAGGTTCTAAACACAATGACACATTAAATAACGTCATTTGATATTTTAAATCACAACTTCTACAGATTATAGTATTCATTAGGCAAAGATTCAGTTTTAGAATAATGGATAAAAGATAGACACATCTATTCCAATAAAACCTAGTAGCTCTTTCAGCCTCTGTAGGTCATGAGGTCACCGTTGCTGTGATCACTCGCAGAGAGTGACAACATCCAGGAAATAACTTTTTGTAAGAAATGCAAGCTCAGGTAGGGCTATAACATTGGGAAAGATAAAAACGACTCCAAAATTACCCAACATCTTTTTGTTAATCTTTTGATGGTTTCATCTGCCCCCAATGCCAACCTTGCCCACCAATCTAATCTCTCTCTCTCTCTCTCACACACACACACACACACACACACACACGCACACACACTCTAATATAGAAGCCTTCTTTAAGCTACTGGATATTAAGAAAATATGAAAAGTGGGAAGGAAAGAAAAAAAAAAGAATGTTCTTCCTTAACATCAATTTAAAACTTTTGCTTCTATTTTAATAGTCAAGCCTGCATTACACATTTCAATAGCGTAATATTTATGGGGGTTTTTTCTCAGATGAAATTGAATTTCAGCTTATAAACTAATTGCTTTATAACTTTGTGAGTTATATTTATTAAAGAAGTAAATTCAACAATAAATAATGAATAAAGGGAATAATAAAGCATATTTTTCATGTCTTTTGGCTAAAAGCACTATCATCAATACGTTGTCAAAACCTACCATTCCCTGCCACCACCATCATTTTATTTACTTGTCAAGGAACTAAAGAATTGCCATCCCAAACTGCAGTGTGAAAGCACCTACGTTGCTTATAATAACTACTGGGACACAGTGAAGTAAACTCCCCGAGGTGAGTTCCGTAATTTGACAATATGATGCCTCCAGCTCTGAGCTACCTCTTCTCACCTGATAAGTAAGAGTTTGTGGCAGGTATCCAGCGAATCGTTATATCCGTCAGGGATAATTTCTTCCTCTGGAGCATCTTTGTCAAACCAGCTTTTCCATCCCTTCTCATTACGCGATATCTGAAGTAAACAAGCCAATTAGCAAGCCACGGGAGTACATGGAGCTGAAATAATATATTGGGGAGGACACCGAATAACCCAGAGGGTCGTTCTCTCTAGGCACATCCTTTTTCAAATATAACCACGCATCTACATTTTTCTTCAAAATCAGTGACTCAAACAATGTGGAGATTACTATTCTCTTTCAGTTTTCCCACTGCTTTTCTCCACTTTCACTACAATTAGGACCATGAATCAATTACACTAAATGACTGGGCAGGAAAAAAATCACAGACCAGGGTTTCTCGACCTACTGACATTTGGGGCCAGTTATTTTTTGTGCAGGGCGCTGTCCTGTGCACTGTGGGATGTTTGGCGGTATTCCTCACCTCCACCCACTAAAAACCAGTAACACCCCTCCCCGAATTCGGGACAATCAAAAATCTCTAGACATTATAAAAGCTCCCTGTGGGAGGTTGGGGGTGGGGAGAGGAATGGGCACAAAGTTGCCCTGAGTTGAGAACCACTGATAGAGACCATTCTGATAAGCAAACCTCCAAATGGTGACCTCTACGTAACATACTGATAGATGGCACAGTCAAAACTTCCATGTTCCTAGTGACTGCTGCCCTGAGGCATTAGACGGGAGGAGGGAAGAGGTCTCTCCGGGAGCTGGTCCCGGGCACCTGCTCCTGCAGAGCATGGGGAGAGCTGCGGGGGTTTTAGAGGCATCACGGTGCTCGGTGAAGCTCAGCCCCGTGAAAACCAGGGACAGACGCTGCGTGATGGCGAGCCTGGCATCCGCAGGCGGCCTGGTTGCTTAGGCCGCGACAGCAAGCGTGTTTAAAGAGCAACAGGTCAGTCAGTGCTAACAGCAAACAGCAAGTCAGCACAGAGCAGAGGCTGCGTGCCACCCCCGAGCCTGGTCCTTTCTCCTCTATTCTCCCCGCTTTCTCCAGAGGCATCGAGAGGAATAGTTACCCAAAGCCCACAGTTTAATAGCAAAACAATGAACCCAGTTGCTCCAACTTTGTCCCTGGGACACTGAAAGGTGGAGGAGGATTTCTGAAATGTTTCACAGCTGCCGCCTTTCTCCGGGCTCCCCCCAGCTGGCTGCTCTCACAGAATCAGCTTGGCACACGGCCAGCAGGCCTAGATGCTGCTGTGGCCCACCCTACTGCCCTGGCCCCAGCGCACTGCCACTCACAGCGCCCCCTGCAGGCCTCCCCCACACTAGCGGCCAGAGAGAGGGAGACAAGAGGGTGTTTATTCCCAACCTTCCAGCTGCTGATTTTGACTCTTCACAGTAGCGCTCCCAACAGGCGAGCTGCACCTATCATGAGCAGTGGGCTGACTTCCAGCCCCTGGCTGCCCACCTCCATGTCCCACTCCTTTTCCTGGTCCTCTCTCCTAGCAAATAGTTTGTTAAACAGTTTGGCCTGAGAAGCCAAGGCGGGGCCCGCTGCTGTTCGAGGCTATTTTTGTTTCAATCGCTGGCACCACTCAGCTGGGAGACTCTCCCCTTCCTTCCCACAGACAGGCCAGCGCGGGCCGCCTGGTGGCAGGGCCTCGTGAGCTTCTGCGCTGTCCTGAGAGCAGCCCTTCCCCTCACACCAGGCCCAGCTCCGGTGTAAAAGGCTGCGGAGAAATAACGCTGCTGTCAGGAAAGAGCATGAGGTCCAATGACAGCTTCGCCCTTCATCGGCCGCGTGGAGACTCCTTAACCTCTTTGAGTCTCGGTTCTCTCATCTCTAAAGCGGGATCAACAATGCAATGAATACGCATCCATCAACAATTGAATCTAAAAAGCAAAATAAACAAGCAAGCAATCTAATGAACAAAATAAACTGATGAATAAAACAGAACCAGAGGCGTGGAAACATGGAACAGCCTGACGACTCTCAGAGAGAAGGGGAGGGGTGGGTGGGAAGAGACTAACCAAAGAACATGTATGCATTACCTGTGGACACAGACAATAGAGTGGTGAAGGCCAGGGGGGCGGGA